ACCGCGTGGTGCGACAGGGTCTAGGCCCGACGGGGCTCTCACCCTCTCCGGCGCCCCTTTCCAGGGGACTTGGGCCCAGTCCACCGCTAAGGATATATGCTCATTGAATACATCAGTGTAGCGCGCGTGCGGCCCAGAACATCTAAGGGCATCACAGACCTGTTATTGCCTCAAACTTCCGCGGCCTAAGAGGCCGTAGTCCCTCTAAGAAGCTGGCCACGAAGGGATACCTTCGCATAGCTAGTTTGCAGGCTGAGGTCTCGTTCGTTAACGGAATTAACCAGACAAATCGCTCCACCAACTAAGAACGGCCATGCACCACCACCCATAGAATCTTGAAAGAGCTATCAATGAAAGAGCTCTCAATAATGTTCGGACAAGTCTCGCACTGAGGCGATCAGCATGAACAGTGTCCGGTTGTCTTCTCCGTTCATTTTCGCGACGTTGCTGGTGGTTTAACTCCTGAGTGGTTGCAGATTCTTCATCTCCTTGTTGTGACGAGCTTCTCCTATGGTGGAATCGCTGGATTCTATCATCTCTTGAAGTCAACGCAAGCTAGGGTTGGAGTTTCACTGTTCATCTTCTACGATGTCTCCTCCGTTTTTTTCTAGGTAAGTGTGGCTTGTCTCCCTTTTCCTTTGCCATGGGGAAGAAGAAGACGACGAGGACTCCTGCGCATTCTCCTCCTCCCACTACGGTGAGGAAGGAGAAGAAGAAGAAGAGTACCAGACTTGTTGTAGATGATGAAACGGATTGTGTGAACACTGTGGATGCTGGGATTGAACTTTCTGATGAGGAAAAGGGTGAACCCTCGGTTCAGTCCTCTTTTGATACCTCAATTGATGAAGATGAAGTTGCCAGGACTCTCCAAATCTCTTTGGAGCAGAACCTGGAAGCCATCCTCTCTGATGATATAGATAACACCTTGGCCAATGAACAACCTCTGAACAAGGAGACACCTCCTGATAATGTTGCTGATACTCCTCTGGAACAACCTATCAGCAACGAGGAGAAAGAGAAGGAAAAAGAACCTCCTGATGCTGGAAAGAGTGGAGACAAACTGAAGGAAGATAAAGTGGATAAACCGGCTGATGCAAAGAAATCTTTTGCCTCCTTCTTCAAGAAAAATAGGGCAGAAGATAAAGGAATGAAGCTTCACAAGGTTGTAGGCCCTAAATGCTTTATACCTGAAGAAGACATGCTGACTGTGGAAGAAATTTGGGGACCTTGCCTGGTGGGTTGCTTCACTGGTAGATTCCCTGGGTTGATAGCCATCCAAAAACTGGTTGACAGTTGGGGAGTCAAGTGCAAGTTTCTGCCCCACCACCAAGGATGGGTTGTCTTCAAATTTCTTACCAATGAGGATAGGGATTCTGCTCTCTTACATGCCAAGAAGGAACTCAATAATAAGAAATTGCTCATTAACATCCCCCCTGATGACTTTATGTGGGATGTTAAGTCCTTTTCAACTATGCCTGTTTGGGTTAAGCTGTGGAATGTCCCCATGAGGTTCTGGTCCTCAAATGCCCTATCACACATAGGGTCTCAACTTGGCACTCCCTTGTACACTGATGGCCTCACTCACACAGTGGCTTCCAAGTTGAGTGCTGAGGATCAGGAAGAGAATGATGAGCTTAAATATCAGAAGCCTAATTACTGCAGAATGTTGATTAACATGGACCTATCCCTCACACCTCCCACTTCTGTTGAGGTGGATTTTGTTGGGGGTAGCTATGTTCAAAAGGTTGAGTATGAGGACATGCCTCAATACTGCTACCACTGTAAGTGTTTTGGCCATGACCCCTTTAAATGCTCAGTTCTTCATGAGATTAACAAGAGAAAATTCAATGAAGAACAAAAAGCAAGAGAGAGGGCTAGGGTTGAAACCCTCAAAACCATAATGCTTACAGAAGCACAACAACAACCACTGAATGGGAAGGAAAATGGGAAAGAGGAAGTGAACAACATTGCTGGAAACAAAGGAAAAGGAAAGGAAAGTTCAGGTGGTGTGGCCCAAAACCCAAATGATCCTGGCCCATCCTTTACTGCCCATATTGAGGATGATGGCTTCACACAAGTTGGAGGGGGCAAGGGCAAACTTACAACACACCCTATCAGAGATGGAAAGCAGAGGACTGGATACAACAAAGGGGGAGGTCAGACTGGAGGATACAGAGGTGGACCACACAGAGGAAGGGGAAGGGGCTATGGCCCTTACCGTTGATGAAGGTACTTTGTTGGAATATTAGAGGCATTGGCAAGGCCTCTAAGCAAAACTTTTTGTGTAAATACCTTTTTGAACTTGATGTCAAGTTATTTTGTGCTTTAGAAACAAAAATGAATACTGCCAAACTTAACCTTTTTGCTAAAAACAAACTCCCGTCATGGAGCTTTTCACATAATTTTGATCTTATTGATGATGGGAGAATGGCAGTTTTTTGGAATCCTTCCTTTGTGGAGTGCACTATTATTCATGTCACTGACCAGCTTATGCATTGTAAGATCAAGTGCCTCATTTCTCAAAGGAGTTTTTTTGTTTCTTTTGTTTATGCCCTCTACTATGTTACTGGCAGAAGGGGGTTGTGGGATTTTTTGACTAACATTGCAGGTGATTTCAGTGGCCCTTGGGCTGTTATGGGGGATTTCAATGCAGTTATCAGCTCTACTGAAAGAGTGAACTGCCAAACCCAAAGTGCCTATTACATGACAGATCTCAGACAGTTCAGAATCAACAATGCCTTGAATGATGCTAACTCATCAGGGCTGGAATTTACTTGGAACAAAGGTGAAAAATGGGCCAAACTAGACAGAGTTCTGGTCAATGATGAATGGGAAAATATGCATTGGGACTGCTGGGCTGAATTTAGAGACATGGAGGCAATCTCTGACCACTGCCCAGTGTTGCTGAAACTCATGAATATTCAGAACCAGAGAACCAGGCCTTTTAAGTTTTACAACATGTGGCTCAAGCATGAGAATTTTGATATGGTGATCAGGGAGAATTGGAACCAGTGGGTCAATGGAACAAGGCAGTACAGATTATGTGTCAAACTCAAAAAACTGAATCTGCCAGAAAGGAGTATAGCCATCTCATGCAGGAACTGATCTTGGAACCTGAGAATCCTTCCCTTCTGTCCAGAAGTGTTGAAATCAGAAACAAAGCCAGTTTTTTCATGGATGCTGAAAGATCTTTCTTCCAACAGAAGACCAAGTGTGAACTACTCTTTGAGGGGGACAAATGCACCAAATTTTTCCATGCCCTGATGAGGAAAAAGAATCATAGCAGTGCCATCCCCTTCATTCTTACAGCTGATCAGAGACTCACCACCAGTTTGGAGGAGGTTGAAAAGGAATTTACTGAGTACTTTACCAATCTTTTTGGAACCACTGTCCCCATTGAACCTGTTGATTGGAATGTTTTTGAAGAGGGCCCTCTCATCCCCAACCATGCAGCTAACAACCTCATCAGAAAGGTGACTATTGAAGAGGTTAGGGATGCACTATTTTCTATTGGGAATAACAAATCCCCTGGCCCTGATGGTTACACTTCTGCTTTCTTCAAAGAAAAGTGGGATATTGTTGGAAATAATCTGTATGAAGCAGTTTCTGAATTCTTTATTAGTGGGAGAATCCTTAAACAACTCAACCATGCTATTGTGGCCTTGATCCCTAAAGTCAAAGTGAATCCTACTGTTAGGGATTTTAGACCCATAGCCTGCTCCAATGTGATCTATAAAGTTATTACTAAGATTTTGTCCAACAGAATGAGTCACATACTTCCTGAAATCATTGATCAAGCACAGTCTGCTTTTGTGGGTGGGAGAAGTCTGGTGGACAACATACTGCTGGCACAACACTTGGTTAGAGGGTATGCCAGAAAAAGAAGTCCTCCTTGCTGCATGATTAAAGTGGATATAACCAAGGCATATGACACTATCTCTTGGGAATATTTGAAGAATACTATGACTGGCCTTGGATTCCCCACTAAGTTCACTGATTGGGTAATGGAATGTGTATCTTCTGCATCCTTTTCCTTATCTTTGAATGGGGGAATTCATGGCTTCATCAAGTGCAAAAGAGGAATCAGACAAGGAGACCCCATGGCACCTACCTTGTTCTTATTCTGCATGGAATACCTCTCTAGACTTCTGAAAAGAATGACAAGAGAGAGGAGATTTAATTTCCACTCTAAATGCTCCTCATTGAAGATAACACACATTGCTTTTGCTGATGACATCATGATGTTCTCCAGAGGGGACAAAGATTCTGTCCAGATCCTTGCTGATGCCTTGAAGCACTTTTCCTCTGTCTCAGGCCTCCATGTCAATGCACAGAAATCAAATATCTACCTGGCAGGGCAAATCAAGGGGAATAAGCAGCATATCCTCAACTTGGTGAATTTCCCTGAAGGACTTTTACCAGTTAAATACCTGGGACTGCCACTCACTTCACAAAGGGCATCAGAGAGGGACTTTGCACCACTGATTGAAACTGTTGATGATAATATAAGAAGATGGAACACAAAAACTTTGACCATTGCTGGAAGAGCTGAACTTATTAGGAGTGTTATCCAAGGGATAGAAGGTTTTTGGCTTCAAGCTTTCCCCATCCATAAATCTGTCCTTAACAGAATAACCTCCATTTGCAGAACATTCCTTTGGGGAAACAAATTCTACAAAGTGGCTTCGGATGATATTTGCAAACCAAAGGAGGAAGGGGGACTTGGGCTTAAGAACTCAGAAGTCTGGAATCAAGCACTTATGGCTAAAAACCTTTGGAACATTGCTTCAAGGAAAGAAACCCTCTGGGTTCAAGGGGTTCACAGTGTCTACCTCCAGGACAGAGATATTTGGGCCTGGATCCCTAAACATGGGGATTCACACTTCTTCAAAAAACTTGCAGAAGTGAGAAACAATCTGGCCCAGAAGCTTGGTACTGATCAGTATCAAGAAGTGGATTGGGATGAACTCCTTGTAGATGGAGAATTCTGCACAGCAAAGGTGTATGATTTATTGAGAGTTCATTTGCCTCCCAAACCCTGCATGAAAATGATTTGGCAAAGCTACATTCCACCCAGATTCTCTGTTACAACCTGGCTTGCCATCAGAAGGAGGTTATCAACCAAGGTGAATCTGGGATTCATCCCCATGGAGAATAGGAATTGTAGCCTCTGTGGACAAGAACTTGAGACCACTGATCACCTTTTCTTTGCTTGCACTGCTTCCCATCAGATTTGGAAGAATATGAAAGATTGGCTCAAAATTCCTTATGCACTCTCAACTATTGAAAGAGTCATCAAATGGCTCCTTGGAAGGCATAAAGTTCATGGTAACCTAAGAAACATTTGGAGATTAGCAGCAATGAGTACCATACACCATATGTGGAAGATGAGAAATGCTGTCTATTTTGAGGGTAAGAGTGTGGACTGTGATGCAATTACTTGGAAAATTAAGGTGGGGATCTATAAGATTTGCTACAGGCTCTATCCCAATATTGCACTGTAAGCCCTCTCTCTTAATCTTGTGACTGGTTGGATTGATTGGGTTATGTGTTTAATGATTTCCTCATTAAACCACTTAATCTGTTTTCTTGGTACATCATTGACTCTATCATACTGGTTTCTAGTCTGATTAGGCTAATGATGTACCATGGGTGGGGTTTTTACTCCTGGCTGTTGGTTGGTGGATAACAGGATACATAGTGCCTACCCCTTGGATAAGCAATATGTTCCCTGGGATCAGGGGGGATGTTTTCCCTTGGTG